GTCAAACTAATGCGATGAATATTTTCACCCTTATTGTTTATTATTATAATATAATTGATGTATTTATATGTAGTAATTTCTAGGTTAATTTTTAACCATCCTAATACGTTAACTCACTCTCTTGTTTATAAGGTTACTGCCGTGTACACGTTTCGAATATTTTGTTGAATAACAGTATATAGAACAAATCTGGGAAGTCGTGACCAGTAGGGTACAGCAGGTTGGGCGTAAGGACAAAGACTCGCCGAAGACATTGGCTAGCGGTCACGCTATGTTGTGAATCGCCAGAAGCTGGAATTCATGCACTGTCCATTGGATCGGGTCCCAGTGGCTTAATGGTCAACGAGCTCGCCTGTAACCGGAAGGTCCTGGGTTCGAACCGTGGTGGTAGGTGCGTACTGTTGAAGATTCCCAAACTAGGCTGACGAAACAACAGCTGTCCAGTACTCCTTGCAGGTTTTCCATTGGTTCTCTAATTTAATGTCAATTCATGATGAAATCCTGTAACCAATCAACGAAATCCCTACAAACCAATACTTGAATAACTAAAACTCTTCATTGTTTACGTTCATTATCCCTTCACATAAATGTTTGCATTCAGCCTTTCACTTATTTACTTATCTATCTTAGTGTAAAAGCATACATGTTCATGTTATCTTTTTTACAGCAACATCAAACAGTAAATGAAGATAATTGACGGCTGAACACTGTTCACTAACGTGATCTTTAATCCGCAGTAATAAATCAGTGAAATGCTTGTATGTAAATTTTTATCTAAAAGCGTACTTAAATATCAATGAAAAGTACCACAAAATAGCCTTTTCTTGACTCTCCACTGTACTTAGACAAAGAAATTTCCTGTAAGGATGATAATACTCCATATTAGTTTGTTTATTGGGTATATCACACAGTGAAACAGTATTATTTACTGGATGACGTTTCGAACAAAATTTATTGTCAGAAACGAACTCATTTCTGACCAAGACCTCAAACTTAGGACAAAAGTGCCACTTGAGGACATAATGCTGGGAGTACAGCTATGCCTGACTTCCACAGTATTTAAATTCCAAGGGAAAATATACAAACAAACTGAGGGAGTTGCCAAGAGATCACCAATATCCCCAGTGGTAGCAGATATATTCATGAATAAGTGGGAAAGCATAGCGATTAAAACGTTCAACCCCAGCCCAAAAGTATGGTGGAGGTACGTAGATGACACATTCACTGTACTTAGAACACAAGATATAGATAGGTTTTTCGAACAAATCAACTCGAAGGTTGAAGCAATTCAATTCACTTATGAATTGGAAAATCAGGAAGGGGAGCTCCCAATGTTAGATTGCAACGTAAAGAGGAAAGAAGATGGGATGTTAAACACTAGTGTTTACAGGAAACCCACACACTCAAACAGATATTTGGACTTCCGATCATCCCATCCTATGTCAGTAAAAATAGGATTGGTGAAATGTTTAAATGACAGAGCACAAAAATTAAGTAGTACCAAAGAAAATCTAAAACAGGAACTGATACATATAAAAGAAGCCTTGAAACTTAATAATTACCCGGATAAATTAGTCAGGAGATATGTGAGGAAATGTAAAAATAAAATAAATAATGATAGTAGCGATATGGATAATAACAATGATAATGATAATAGTGATAATAATAATATTAATGACGACACCAACAATAAAGAATCTAAATCATCAGTAGTAATTCCATACAAGGAAGGAACCTCGGAAGCCTTACGCAGAATTCTCAACAAGGCAGGAATAAAAACGGCATTCAAACCCACAAACTCAATTAGAAACAAGCTTTGTCATTTAAGGGATCCCGTGGAACCTTTAAAACAAAACAGTTTAGTTTATCTCATACCCTGCAATGATTGTCAAATCAAATACATAGGTCAAAGTAGTAGAACAGGGGCAGTCAGACTGACTGGGCATAAAAACTTAGCAAAATCTAGATTGGTTGACCCGAATAAAATAGGAAATCTAGAGAATAGTTCAGCTATACCACTACATGCAGTCACACACAACCATACAATAGGATGGGATAGGATGACAGTTTTAAAATTCCATGTAACAGGGTGGAGGGAGAGATTGATAACGGAAGTTTTGTTTATCGAATCAGCTGCAAACACGTATAATAAGAATGATTCAACACCTGTCCCAGATATCTGGAAAATTCTACTACCCCTACGAAAAATAGGAGAAAACAAAGAAAGCTATAAAACTCAAGTCTCAAAGTCGTGTGATTACAATTGATATGATTATAAACAATAAACTTTTTTCGAAATGTCATCCAGTAAATAATACTGTTTCACTGTGTGATATACCCAATAAACAAACTAATATGGAATTACTTACTACCACAGTGCCCAAGTTTTACACATATATTAATGATAATACTCCCTTTTAGCGACATATAATGTTTGAGAACTGTACTGTAAGATCTACAACCTACAACGTTTTTGTTTACTATTGAACGTCTCTGGTATCAGTTTATTTATACAGTTTATTTTTAAAATACTTCTTACGTAATGGCATTTTTAAGGAACAGGCAATGAATTCATAACTGGAACGGTGTATTATTAACAGTACTTTTACCAACAGCTGTGTCAGAACTGCATTTGTTTTCTTAATTACCAAACTTTCTGAATCTTCTATACTTCAAATTTGTCTAATTAATTAACATAGGCTATGCGTTGTGTATTTCTTAGAGTTAGATATCTGAGTGTTCGTTCTACAAATAAGCTCACATATATAAAACAGCATATTGAACTTTAAATAGTTAAACTTACTGTCACGTAAAAGTGAATCTATTGTTAACAAGTTAATAAAGAAAAATTACGATTCTTGTTTTTTGGTGTTATTAGATTTGATGTACATTTTATGATGTAAGGTGAAGAACTCTACTAATGCATAATTATTCTCCTCAAACTGGAGTCAATTATTTATCCGGAATTTTTCGCTGTGTACGTAATAACTTATACATATATATATATATTTAGAGAAACAGAGCATATTTGAAATATATAGGGAGATTTACATCAATTTCGATGAAGGATAGATGCCAGTCAGAGAACAATTGAAGACTAGGGTACATTGGACAACTGTTCCGTCTTGGTTTGGAACTCTTCAGTAGTACGCATGATCCCTGGTATGTGAGTTCTAAACTAGGACGAAATAGCTATCCAGTACTCTCTGGTTTTCAATGATTCTCTAAATGACATTACTTCGTAATCAAATTTGAAACAAACCAAATCCCTCCAAGCAAACTCTTGAATATATACGTAGAATAAAGTGACCGTGATACATATATATGTTGTTATATGGCGTATTTCATTATACTCAATATACTGATCTTTGTTTCATTGCATCAGTGCACTCTGTAATATATCACACAAACAACAATGTTGTAGATGTTTACATTATTCGAGATGATCACTGTGTACTAAAGTATTTTAAACAAAAAAGAACAAGAAGTCCAGCAAAGATATCTCTTCGATGATTTCATCCTGAAGAGCTCCACAATCTCATTTCTCTGCATAAATTCACGTAGTTACCATCAGTATTTAATTCAACAGAGTAACGAAGAAAGATGGGAAAATAGATCGTATGGGGCTCACAGACAGAAGTACATAGAATAAGAAAATAGTTGTGCAATATGTGAAATAGGTTTAACTGATGAGTGACCAGGATGTGTAATGAAACAAACTGAAATAATTATGCACTTTTTCCCAGGAAGTTAACTTTTGTATTCACTTCGGCAAGTCTTACAGAAACTCACGGACTTCATTCACTGTTCAGGGGACGTTGCACTTTTGAAGTTGGGGAAAATACCCTTCAAGACAGTTGAGATAAAAGAATAATGTTATATTTTCATTGTAACTATGCTAACTTATGTGAGAGAAACGCCATAGTACTGCTTTTGAGGATGAAATCATCGAAAAGGTATCTTAACTGAGCGTCTTGTTCTTTTACCTCTAATGTTCTGGTGATTATTTTCAATGATTTCAAATATTTCAATTCACTGTAAGATGAGCTTTTAATGTAGATTAAAATACGATACTTTAAGTTTCTGGACGTCTATAGTCCATTCAGAAATGTGCTTAGTTATGAAGAACGACAAAGATAAAGGTAGTTGGTGATAACTGAAGTTGGAAGAAAAATGTTGATTTGGGCAATATTCAAACCAATGAAGCTGCGAGGTGCAACTACTAATCAAGTCATAATCTTACTGGAATCATCGTCAATAATAAGTTGCCTTGAGTGCTAAGAATTAGCATCCTCGTCATCATCACTTGTCAACAAGACTTGTATTCAACCTTGAGAATACTGTTATGTCATTCAGCATAGATTAATCACTTCTATAGTGCGTTTATCTCTCCAGAACATTTTACCATGAAATAAGCGCAATAAGTTGGTTATTCATTAAGTGTTGCTTAACAGGGATTTGAATGGTTTGGTCACGAGTTGGCATCAGTTAGGGAACCATTGGAGGACCTGGAAGTACGTGACAGCCGTTTCATCGTAGCTTGGACTCTTCATCAGTATGTACCCACCAGTGTTAAAACCTAGAACCTTCTGACTACATGGTGAGAGGGTTCGTATGCCACTTCAGCCACTGGGACCCGATCCAATGGCCCATGAATTCCAGCTCCTGACGGTTGGTGATATATATAGTGCAACTGCCAGCCAGTGTCACTAGCGAGTGACTGTTCTCTCACCTAACTTGGTGAAACCCTCTGCTTATGACTTCTCACTATTTGTCTACAAAGGTGGTCATACTCTGATATTTCATCAGAAGACTTCAGCTTACAATATTAGCTGTAGATAATCTTATCGTTCAGCTGTGCTTTTTTACAGACCATTTAACTTTATTTGATAGTTGTTGTTGCCATTGTTGTTGATATTGTTCATGATTTTAATGTTTGAATCAACTCACATTGTTTTATTTCTTTTTCTTTTTGTATTCTTTTCTTTTTTTTTGAATAGCTGGATTCATGACTACCAGGATGCATGTATTGACAAAGTTGAAAAATTTATGATTAAAGCAAATGTTATAACTCCACTGCCTTCCAGTCAAATGAAACCATTTGAAAAATAATTTTAAAAGAAAGATATTTTATTTTGTTAGGTGTCTTTCTGCTTTTTTCTCTCTCTCGAAAAAATATACCCCCCCCCCCCGCCCCAGAAAGAAAGCTTCCCTCGATTATCAGTCTATTTTGAACATGTTTTGGCATTTTCCCCTTTTTTGGCTTGTTTATATTTATACATAATACATTAATGTATACACACACAGGGGGAAATATAAGACAAAAACGTGCTTATATTGCCATACACAATGTGCATTATTATTATTCCTGTTTCGACTACTATTCATTCAGTCATCTGCATTTATTGTTTTACTTTTTATTATTATTATTTTTTCAATTGACTTATAAAATTATAATCAGTGTAATTCATTATTTCTATTATTATTATTATTTGTATTTGATCTAATATCCCAATTACTACTACTACTATTATTATTATTACACCAGATCTCGTGATTATGTTTATGCCTCTTCTTACTCCGTCTGTATCTTCAACATACGGTGAAGAAAAAAAACAGTAAATGATAAGATTATTATTTATGGAGCAAAATATCGGCTTGTTGCTTGATTTTCCTTCTTCACAGCGTATAAAAAATTTTCTTGATGTTATTCATGTGCAGAGGAAAAAAACCTACTGTGACTGAATAAACATGTGTATAGAACAAAAAAAGAAGGTGTGGTATGTTATCAGAATTACCAAATGTTATCTAAAAAGATAAAGTTTTCATGAAATTTATTCATAACTGCATTGTTTACTGTATAATCGTAGGTAGACAGCAAGCTTCACCAGTCAAAACTTTATCATTTTAAGTTATTTCTCTGTAATGCGCACGTAAAATTTCAAATGTAATCACATGTGTTCATATCAGACTAGTAAGAGGTAAATCTATAAAATTCCTTCTATGATTGTTACATCTCGTGGAGTTGATGGGGTGTATGAAAATATATCAGAAAGTTTTCAAGAATAAAGTGCATCATTGACTTGTTGATATTAGATGGTTGGAGGCAATCGGTAGGAAGCCTTGGACCTAGATTTCGTGCTAGTTGGCACTCACTAGTCAACAAGGCGGATCTGTAACCTTGAAGGAAGGAACTCATGTCCCTTGTGAGAGTCGAACCCACGTCAACCAGTGCTGCAGTCAGAGACGTTACTAATGAGCTATTCGGTCTCGCGATTGACCTCCTGTAGGGCTGTAGTCGATACTTTGATTGGACACTAGTAATTAGTGTGATGTGTCCAGTCCTTTCTTTGGTGCAGACTGAATTCTACCAAGGTTGCAGATACGTTTAAATGACTAGTGAGTGCCAACTAGCACGAAACCTAGATCAAGCAAGGCTTCCTGCCGATTGCCTCCAACCATCTAATATCATCAAATCAATGTGCACCGTGATGGCGAGCTACCTAGAATGGTGGCCATATCGCAAACCTGACTGACAGAATTCAGTCTGCATCAGAGATAGGACTAGACACATCCCACTAGTTATTAGTGTCCAATCAAAATAAAGTGCATCAGTTGACTGTCATCTATGAAAAATAAGGAAGAACGATGCTTCTCGTTACAGTTCATTATTAATCTTCGTTTACACACTTAGTGAAAATATTCATCAGAAGCTTTTAAACTAACTCAGGGAAACAAAGTTAATTTTTTTAGGATTTAAATTTTATTCCTTTACCTTCCGAACGGAAAATAGGACTTTAAGCCAGAGATTTGAAGTTTCAGTAGCGGTGGTGTTACTTTCTACGGGGTGGGGATCCTAGCCATACGCCCAACCTTCCCTCTTTATCAGCCTTACTACCGGCTTAGCGAGTTCCAGAAGTGCATCGGCCGGGAATCGAACCCCGGACCATCTGAGTGGTTGGCGAGCGTTCTACCACTGAACCACTGACGCACTTAGGGAAACAAAGTGTTCAGATATAAGTGAATTAAAAAGTCACCTTGATACTGAAAGAATATAAAGATTACAAATCAGAAAACCATGTAAGGAACTTTTCATCGAAAATAATGATGACTGAATCTAAAATACTGTTGAGATAGTTGCCTACTTTCAGCCAGCACTATATTCGGATATAAATAAGATCACTTCACCACCTTCCATTCGATTGCGCACTTGGATTGTCCTACCCACTGTAGAGAAGAAACTTTGGAAGAATTTTAATTTAAGCATTATTGGCTTAAAATGTACTCTTTCAAGAGTCTAAACACAGAAAATTCTGAGTATAGATTAGCACAAAAACTCACACCTATAAAAACCAAGATTGACATTCCTATGAGTTCAAAGTTTTTAAAAGGACTTTGACTGCTAGAGGCATTTAACACTGCTCAGTATCTTTTCAGTTTACTAGGCTATGAAGCACACTTCCAAAACTATCCATCTACAATTAAGAGAAGGATTCGATTTTCGTTGCTTCAAACATTTTTCATACAAACAGTGCAACTTATTGGGAGATTCCTTCAGCTAATTTTTCATAAGTAACACGTTAATCGATAAATCCACACAGACAGTTTCATTCACCAATGTATAGTGTATCACATTAGCCAGTAGAACGAACTGATCTCATTTATGCTAATAAACACATCATGTATTATAACCTGAATAATTTTGGTCTTCACGGAAGTCCATGATGACTTCTCTTTATGGACTGTGTAATTTAGAGACATGTGATTTAATTTCAAGGTATTTATTACTATTTATTACTATGGTTGCTGCTTATTAGATGAACTAAAGTAAAGAGTTATTAATTTTATCCAAACAGAACAAAGAAGAAAGTTTTTTCAACATCAAGTGACAGTTAGTAAACACTACAACCTATAATATGTCAGTTCAGGGGAACAATTGAACGTTTAAACATCCTGTGGTGCTGGTAAAATTAAAGTGTTAACTACGTTAGTATATTTTAAATTGTTTCAGATCTGAATTCTTGCTAACTTCGATCTTCCTACATTTATTCCTCCTAATTTTTTATTTATTTTGACTACAGCTTGATTCCACACGGTACTTTTGGTACAAGTATGGAATTTTCAGCATGTGATATTGGCAGCCCAAACTTTTCAGGCCGACCATTGATATCAGGTGTATGTCAGCAGTGGATCGGACCCTGGACCATGTGCATGGTCGGCGAGCATCCTAACCGCTGTGCCACCGATGCAATTTGAATAAAGCAAGAACAACAGTTTTTGTAGAAATCTTACCATGATTTATTTCTTTGGCTTCTCATCAGCTGCTTACAGCCCAAAGACATTGTTAAGTATATCTACAGAAAGAATTTTAACATACTTGCACAGAGTTCATTTTCAAACAAAAATCAATATATGCATACAATGCTAATAATGATAATAATAATAAACACTTTATCCCGAACAATAATGATCATACACAATGGAAACTTTTGGTGTTACGTAATCAGATGAAAGAGAGTATGAAAATATCTAGTTAACAGGGCAAGGAAAGACTGATAACCGTTTTTTTCTGAATGCATAAATCGGATTTCAGGCGCTTGATGGAAATTTCTTCGGCAAACTTAAGAACAGATATCCTTCTCATGTTAACTTAAAGTGCATTTACAAATTTAAATGTTTCTACGGGAGCAGTTAGATTGGAAGAACAGAAAGAAGAGCATATCTACGATTTTCTGAACATCTACCAAAAAGCCTATGTCTAAGGGGAACAGATGCTTTAAACAGTGCCATCGGCAGGCATCTCCTTGACATGGGTTATGAGGTGGACGTCACAAGATCGTTCAAAGTTATCAACAGGCAAAAGAGTTCAATTCTCCTTAAGTTTGCCGAAGAAATTTCCATCAAGCGCCTGAAATCCGATTTATGCATTCAGAAAAAAACGGTTATCAGTCTTTCCTTGCCCTGTTAACTAGATATTTTCATACTCTCTTTCATCTGATTACGTAACACCGAAAGTTTCCATTGTGTATGATCATTATTGTTCGGGATAAAGTGTTTATTATTATTATCATTATTAGCATTGTATGCATATATTGATTTTTGTTTGAAAATGAACTCTGTGCAAGTATGATAAAATTCTGTAGATATACTTAACAATGTCTTTGGGCTATAAGCAGCTGATGAGAAGCCAAAGAAATAAATCATGGTAAGATTTCTACAAAAACTGTTGTTCGTGCTTCATTAAACTTCTATCTTTTGTTACTGGACCATTTTTCAAAACACCGCTGTTCACTATATCCAGTAACAAAATATTAGGGAATAAAAGCATACGCATACTGCTTTCAGAATATTCCAATCGATTTTATTTATATCTATCACGTTTAAAGGCTGTTTGTTTAAATTCAAGCTTTTCAGCATGCATGTTCTAGTTGCTTCATTTTTTCGTCTGAATCAATTGTCAGATTTATTTCCTTTATAATGAAGGATGATCATTAATCAATTGTCCATATCCGTTTCATTTCCAGGTAGTCGGTTGACTTTCCATTTTTTGATTGTCATTCCACTTAGGGTTAGTATAAATTTCTTGTGTTTCAGATTGGTAGAATTTTGACTACAAGGCCCGTTGGATTTCGTCCGAGTAGCATAATGATCGACGGACACACCTCGTACTCTAAAGGTCCTGAGTTCCATCCTACAGGGTGTGATGCAAGTGTACTGCATAAGTGTCCCAAACTAGGATAATGCGTTTGTCTGGTATTACCCGGCTTACAGTGGTTCGCTAAGTCGCATCAGTTCTTCATTTACCTTGAATTCGTTAATTGGACCAGACAATTTCGCCATTTTAGAAATTGTTTTTTTGATCCGAATGTATTTTTCTCTGCTTGTTGAGATTTTCTGTTTTTGAAACTAAGACGGGAAGTAACATTTTGTTCTTACCGTACACTAAATCTTAAAAATTTTGACACTTGTTGATTCATACAGTTTGGTCGTACCCTCTTATTTTCTGACTACTGGTCCATCTAAATTCCGTCTCTCTAAGAATTCATTTGCTTGCTTTAAATCTCTTCGATTTATTATTATTATTGTTCCCTTGGGTTCCTAGTGGAACATAG